CGCAAGCCTGGGAGGGGAGGAGAATTAGAGTGGCGCTGTGTGCTCAGCGGAGGAGGCGGAGCCAAGGTGAACTGGGGTGGGCTCCCCAGGCGGGGTTAGCTGCCGCAGGGGAGGAGTCTCCCCAGGCGGGGTTAGCTGCCGCAGGGGAGGAGTCTCCCCGGGCGGGGTTAGCTGCCACGGAGGGGGATAGCTGCTGCGGGGGGGGGGGGGGCTCCCAGGGTGGAGCCTAGGGCGCGAAACTTCCTTGCACCGGCCCTGTGTAAAGGGATGTGTGGTTAGTGCTTATCAAGGGGCCCAATTGTTTTGATTGTCTTAAAGAAATACACAAATTTTTTAATTGACTGATGCCTACACCTGATGGTTGATGTATGTGCATTTTTGTAATATTCATGGTACTGCCAATAACACTTTCACAGTGCTAACAAAATACTGATTTCCAAACAGCTGCTATTCATGATTATATGCTTAGAGCCACCTTCTAGACTATAACGCTCATTGGCTTTGACAGTAGCTTTTTATGCTATTTTTATGATATATGATAGGAGGGAGACAGGTGTTGGAAAAGTTGTTAGATTAGGAGAGGGAGGGAAAAGTTTTTGAGACCATCATAAGTGCAACACATTATAGGTATATAATTTCTATGGTGCTTGCATAACTTTTACATATCATCTTCTGGGCCCTGGTGGAAAGGGACTGAAGCCTATGAAATGGGAAAGTATTTGATGGTGTATCTTTTTTTCCTTAGTGTTTGAGGGAATTCAGTGTAAAAACTCTTAGTGCCACATTTGAGATTGTAAAACTGCCAAATTCAGGAAGTTAAGAACTACAGTTTCTACAGTAACTTTGCCCTTATCCACGCAGAAATTACCATAGCTGCTGGAACTAGGGGTGCTGCTGCACGCTCTGGCTTGAATGGTTTCCATTATATCCAGAGTTTACAGTTTGGTTCAATGGGTCTCAGCTCCTCCCACTGTATAAATTGTTCCAGCCCCCCTGCAAGTTACACTACATTTAACTAAAAGTGTGAATTTAAACTGACTTAATAAAACTGGAGCTAGCTTCTTTATGGAACCTCTTTTAAGAGCGACTTAGTTCAGTTCAGTTTAAATGAATTAGGAAAAAGCTAACAGGCTGAAGCTAACCTAAACTAGGCACCCTTAAAGTTCACTAAGGGGATTGCAATATTTCACTAAACTGGTTTAATTAAGCCATTTCCAGTTTGTGGGTAGACCAGGCCTTTCACTCTGCCACTTGAAGCTATGCAGTAAAGTAGAAGGTTTCATTATAGGATCACATGATACTAACTAATTGCATTAATAATAAGCACAGACTTGGGAAGGGTGTGGAAGGGAAACACATACTGCCTTCTTATCAAGGTAGCTTTACTCTAGGAACAAAAACTTGCTTCTCTAACACACTGTTCCTGCTAATACCAATGCCCATCAGGTGGTATTCCTGACCTGTTGTGAGCGGCCAGGTCTCTATTGATGTACTACATAACAAGCAATAAAATGAATTCCTGTGACCACCTAGCATGTTGTTCTTTATTATAAGGGTTGCATGAAATATTTGCTATTAAATTTGGGGGGGGGAATATTATAACCTTCCTTTCAGCCTCTCTCTGTCTCTCTACCTGTCTATCACCATAGTGCCTTCCATGTAAAATTGATAAGAGTAAGGAAGTCCCTGGTGGATTTCATGGAGTCCCTTGGGTAAAAAAAATCTGCATAGGGCAGGGGTTTATGGTGTGGGTTAGGTTTTATTAATTTAATTACTTTTTTTTTTTTGGTTCGTTGATGTTTTGAAATAGAAGGATGTGTCAAGTCTCCCTGAATAAATACTGTGCAGAGTGTCATTAACATAAGCTCTTTTCCTATGGTTTTCCTGACACAGTTTCCCTTTCCAGCTTTTACACACTCTGTTCTGAACAGGCCACTTCTCCACCTCCAGTGATCTCTCTGCCTCTTCCTCCTTCTTTGGAACATTCCCTTCTTACCCTCGCTTGTTGTTAGCCTCAGGTTTGGATTCTTCTTGTCTGCAGGATTGCCAGCCCCACATGCTCAAAAACTGTGAATCCGATGCTCAAAATCATGAGATGGGCTTTAAAATCATGAGATTTTCTAAAACAATAAACTTGCGCGAGGTTTTGATTTGCCTTTTGCTTTTTGAAACTTTAGGGGGAAGCCGTCCACCCCCATGTGGGGTGTGGGCTCTGGGGTGGGGCCAGAAATGAGGAGTTCAGGGTGCGGGAGGAGGCTCCAGGCTAGGAGTTGGGGTGTGGGAGTGTGTGAGGGCTCCAGATGGGGGTGCAGGCTATGGAGTGGGGCCAGGGATGAGGGGTTTCAGGTGCAGGAGGAAGCTTTGGGCTGGGGGGGTGGAGCTGAGGGATTTGGATTATGGGAGGGGGCTCCAGGCTGAGGCAGGGGGTTAGGGTATGGGAGGCGGTATGGGCTCTGGGCTGGGGGTGCAGATTCCAGGGTGGGGCCAGAAATGAGGGGTTCAGGGTGTGGAAGGGGGCTACAGGGTGGGGGTGTGGGGATGAGGGATTTGGGGTGCAGGAGGGTGCTCCGGGCTGGGATTGAGGGGTTCTGAGGGCAGGAGGGGGATCAGAGCTTGGGCAGGGGTTGGGGCATGGGAGCGGGTCAGGGGTGCAGACTCTGGGTAGCACTTACCTCAAGCAGCTCCCAGAATCATTGACATGTCCCTCCTCCCCACACCCAGCTCCTATGCGTAGGCACGGCCAGACAGCTCTGCGCGCTGATCCGTCCACAGGCCATGCCCCTGCAGCTCCATTGGCCACGGTTCCCAGCCAATGGGAGCTGCGGAGCCAGCACTTGGGGCGGGGCAGCGTGCAAAGTCCCCTGGCTGCCCCTACATGTAGGAGCCAGAGGGGGGACATGCTGCTGCTTCCAGGGCCAGCCCACAACATTTT